CAACATAACCGTCGACGATAAATTCTAATCCTCCATAACATAATGCAACATACGAGGTTCCCCGAATGTATCTCGGGATCCTCTTTATCGTATTTCAATGCTCTCTACCGGGATTTACCATATACCGACTAACCACTCCCACAGTGAGCGTAATGTCTAGCCTTGTACAAATCATAGTGAACATTAAACTTCCCATTCGTTGATGCATACGGTACTCGAGACATCTCCATCCTCTCTTCTTCACTTGTTAGGACTCATGCTTGGAGGATAACTTGAAATTAATAGGAAGTGGGGTAGAAATTGGCTTACAATCTTGCATGTTGAAACGTCGCAAGACCTTCTTCAAATAAGTATTTTGAGAAAGCCAAATCTTCATATTATTTACGTCTTGGTGAATTTGCATCCCTAGAATCTTGTTTGCTAGTCCTAAGTCTTTCATTTCAAATTCCCTAGCCAATTGTGCCTTCAATTCTTTGACATGATCTTTATTGGGGCTCGCTACCAACATGTCGTCGACATACAACAACAAGATAATAAAATTACTTTCACCAAACCTCTTGAAATATGCACGAGGTCCGCATTAAGTCCGTTGTATCCAAGGCTCATGATGAATGAATCAAATCTCTTGTACCAACACCTCGATGCTCGTTTCAGACCGTACGGAGATTTGGTCAACCTGCGAAACCAAGTTCTTTTTTCCTATTTCTTCAAAACCTTCAGTTTGGAGCATATAAATCTCTTCTTCAAGATCTCCATAAAGAAAAGCCATTTTCACATCTAAGCTGCTCTAGATGTGAGTCAAACATAGCACATATTGCTAGGACTACTCGGATCGTTGTCGGTCGAACCACGGGAGAAAATATCTCATTAAAGTCAATCCCTTCTTTTCGAGCATAACCTTTCACCACCAACCTTATACGATATCGCTCCACTCGATCATCGACATTTCGTTTGATCTTGTAAACCCATTTATTACCAATGAGCTTTCTTCCTTGTGGTAATGTCACAAGTTCCCAAGTCTTGTTCTTGTGAAAAGCTTCAATTTCTTCTGCATTGCTTGCCATCCACGGAGATGCATCCGAGTTGTTCATTGCTTCTTGGAGAGTTGATGGCTCTCCTTCCTCCGTTAAAAGACAATATGCAACATTGCTCTTCATAATATAGTCGAATGCCAATCGGGTCACCTTCTTGTGCGATCGGTCCGTTGGGGTTTTGAAACTTCGGACTCAGCTGGTTTCTCTCTCTTATACTGCGGTCGTTGCTTCGAAGGATCCTTTTGTTCGGGATCTTTTTCCACCTGTACCTTTGTAGTTTTTGAAGTGCTTATTACCTTGTTCTTTCCTTTGTAGATCCGTTTCTACAAAGATAACCTCCCTGCTGATAATAACCTTGTCGGCGGTGGGATCCCACGAGCGATACCCCTCGACTCCATCGGCATACCCCGAGAATAAGCATTTCCTGGATTTTGGATCTAGCTTTGTGATTTCTTGAGCGTTGTACATTATGTGCACAAGACTTCCAAATGTATGAAAATTTGAATAATCAGTCGGCTTACCGGTCCACATCTCCATCGGTGTTTTCAACTCGATTGCGGTTGATGGGGATCGATTCACAATATAACGGGCGGTATTGACTCGCTTACGCCAGAATGCCTTTCCTAAGCTCGCGAGTCCTCGACATAGCTCTTGTTCTTTCTAACAAGGTTCTATTCATCCGCTTCTGTCACTCCATTTTGTTGAGAAGTGTATGCAACCATGAAGCTGTCTTTTGATACCTTCTTGTTTGCAAAATGTATCAAATTCATCTCCGAGTGTATTCTCCTCCATTATCCGTCCTCAAACACTTGATCTTCTTTCCGGACTCAAGTTCGACCCGCGCTTTGTAAACTTTGAAGGCCGAAAACACATCTCCCTTCCTCTTGATAGGATACACCCGGCATTTCCTAGAATAATCATCAATGAAGGACATAAAGTACTTCGCTCCTCCTAGGGATGGAATCGGTGCTTGCCACACATCGAGTGAACCAGTTCTAGAATAGTCTTGCTTCAGAATTTGATGTGCTAAACTTCGATCGATGTCTGCTTGCTGATAACACAATGCTCACAAAAGGGTAAAGATACTTTTGTGAGTCCGGAAGTAGTTTTTGCTCGGTAAGGATTTTCATTCCTTGTTCGGACATATGCCTAAGTTTCGATGCCACATTATTGTAGATCTTTCACTCGAACTGTTTAAAGCAGCCGATGCTTCGCTTCTTGTAAAGTCTCTCTCTTCGGCATGTATAAGTTTACGGCTATCTTTTCTCCCTTCATAAGTACAAGGGCTCCTTTGATTATCTTCGGGGTCCCCTTCTCGGTATCGATCTTGTATCCAAGATCATCCGGTTGTCCTATGGACAACAAGTTCTTCTTCGGGTCCTCCACATGCCGCATTTGTTGAATAGTACGAATTGTACCATCATACATCTTCGACTTGATGGTTCCAATGCCAATGATCTTTAGAGCATGATCATTGCAACTGTACACGAGATCCTCATGAGATAGGTTCATAATGATAGAACCATTCCTTCCTAGAGGTCATGTGAAATGTAGCTCTCGAGTCGAATAGCCACACATCGGTAAATCTTTTTCTATCACTATATGATGTTACTGCTTCACGACACGGAGCGTTTCCATCATCCGAAGTGCTTGCCACATTTCCTTGAGGATTGAAATTTTTCAAACTCGACAATCCTTCTTTAGGTGACCTTTCTTGCCACGGTTGTAGCATTTAAAACTCTTCTTACTTCTTGATTTTGACTACCATGATTATAGCTCCCATTTGAGCCATGATCCGTTGATCTCCCTCTCATCACCGTCGAGGCTTCTACTTGTTGAGAAGTCATCTACCTGTCTTTTTTGTTCTTGTGTCGATTTTCTTCTTCCGAACAACAACTGCAACATCATCGAAGACTAGAGAATCCGTAAGGATATTATTTGTTAAGTTGATGATGAGTTGATCATACGAATACGGTAGACTTTGAAGTAGAAGTTTAGCACGTTCGTTTTGATCTATTTTATAACCCAACGATGTGAGTTGAGAAAATAAAGTATTCAAAGTATTGACATGCTCTGTCACCGAAGTAGATTCCGCCATATGAAGAGTATAAAGTTTCCTCTTAAGAAAAATTTTGTTGTGGAGTGACTTGACCTCATACGACTTGGTGAGATGATCCCGGATCTCCTTTCTTGTCTTCTTCTCCTCTATGCTTGACAACACTCCATCTGCTAATGCTAGATGAAGATTTGCAATAGCATTTCCATCCATCTCATTCCACTTATTGTCATCTGTGTATTCTCTCGGCCTTTCATCGATAGCTGCTAGGCAATTATCTTTTCTCAAGATATCCTTTGTCTTAAACTGCCACGATGAGAAATTGCTCTCGTTGAATTTTTTGATTTCAAACTTTGTCGTCATTGCTTCTATCACGGACTCGCAGGATCTACAACCGGGCTCGATACCACTTATTGACCGAATAAAGCGGGGTCGTAGCTAATAAATTTAAGAAATAAAGATGAAGTTGAACACATAGATTTTACGTGGAAACCACTTAAACAAATTAAGGGAAAAAACCACGGACAAGATAGAAGAATTTCACTATGAAAAATAATAGGAGTTACACCCTCTCTCATACTTATAAGGAGAAAACAATAAATTTCTCTCTTGAAATAGGAAAACTCACTCTCTATATCTTTCTCTCTTCTTTGAGATGGGATGGTGGGATATATCAAAGTAAGGTGGAGAGGCCTATTTATAGACCTCTCCCTTTGCATGCAACGCCTCGATTTAGGCGGTGCAAGGCTGAGTCACGACTTGCATTTTGCAAGTCGTGATCTAGCTTACATACAAGTCGGGATTCCGTGGACAAATTGTCCACGGAAAGCCTCGCATGTAAGTTGCATGCAGTTGTGATTTCCATGGACAAATTGTCCACGGAAATCCCTTTTGTTTTGTTTATTATTGTTTTTCAACGGTTTTGGTGAGGCGAGTTAGGCGAGGCGGGAGGCTAGATGATGTGAGGGAAAGGTCTGTGGGTGTTTGTTTCGGGTGGAGTTGTAAAAGGAAGGTGAGAGATGGAGTTTTCACGGTGAAGGTTTTTGGTTCAGCGAGAGGGAGAGAGTTGGCTGCTTGTTAAGGGTGGTGGATGAATAGTTTAGGATATTAAAAATGCAACGGGGTCTTTTATAGGTTTTTTTTTCAGTTTTTTTTTTTTTTGGCAAAATTCAATTTAGTTTTAGGTTCTTTATAATCCATTAATTTAAGTTCGATTTTGATTTTTGTTTCAATGAGACCCTTAAATTTTAATTAATTGAGGTTTTTTTTAAAATTTATTTCAATTTTACGCCTTTTTAATTTAAATAAGGGATTGAAGTTTTGAATTTTTTCAATCGAGCCCTCAATTGTCTTTTTTTTCAAACCTTCTATTTTTTTAATTAGCCCCCTTCTAGAATCAATCTAAATCAATAAAAAAAATAAAAATAAAAAAACAGGAATAAAAATTAGGTGTTAACAATTGTGATATTTATGACATGTGTTTAATGATTGATTGAATGGGTTTAATGTCTGTTCTATTTTTTTTATTTTTTTAAAATTTATCTATTTAATTTTGATAAAATTTTTTGACACATGTTGTAATCGTATGGTACTAAATATCTGATTTAACACCGTTAGGCCAAAAAAATCAATGAATAAATATAATTAAGACAAAACTAAACGTAAATAGATAAATTTAAAGATGAAAAAAAAAGGCACCATAAAGACGAAAAGTAAAAATAAAGAGACCGTAGGTCAAAATATAATTTATCCAAATGAAGTCTACCCATTCTACTTTACCGAGCCAAGTGGTTAGATCCAAACCCGAACACAACTAACAGATGGCGGTATATAGATAGTGACGATTAATCTGTCGGTTATTATTTGAAAAGAGAGAGTGAGCAGAGAAAATTTGATTTCAAGACAAGAAAATGAGACCTAACATTGTCACTGAGGTAAGCTCTCCATCTCCGTCTCCACTTTTTTTCGACTCTAATTTCTCTTTTTTGGTGTTTAGGGTTTTGTGGTTTCAATCGAAATAATGAAATTTGGGGATTTTACTTTACTTTTTGTTGATGATAATGTGGTGATTGAGTGTAGCTGATGTTTAATCAGTGCTGTTGAACTTGATTGAGAATTTTCTATTTCTGGAAGCATTTTTTTATTTTTTTAAAAAAGAAATACGTTTTCCTTTTGATTTGGATTGTGAGGAATTTGTGCAAAAGAAGATCATTTTGTTTTCTTTCTTGCAACGAGCTGGTTAAAAATGAACATTGGTAGATTTGGTTGCTTAAATGATTGATTCTCAAATATCCTTTGTGAATAAATGGGGGCGAGAACATGTTGATTTGGTGATGCAATCTATATAGTTCTTTCAAATAATTTCCTTAGTCGAAGTGAGCAGAATGTGCAGTCGATGCAGGACTAGTCAGCGAAGCATTCCGGGTCATGTTTATTATGATTTTTATTTTATTATGTCTTTTTTTTTTTTGTTTGATTTAGTAACAAGGTTGGTGTTGTGAGTTTACAGGCAGGGCTTCAAACGAGAGTGGGCCAATGGTGGGAAAGCATTCCATTCCTTACTTCTGCAGTGGTGATTGTTTGTAGCATTATATACTTGGTCTGCCTCTTGATTGGATATGACTCGTTTTACGAAATATGTTTCTTGCCAGCTGCTGTTATTTCCCGATTTCAAGGTAATATTTGTTAGGTGATGCATTTAGTTATGAGTATGGATGACAGAATTATGGTTATCATTGGAAGGTATCTTAGAAGTTTTGAGTTTAAGAACATATTACCTTGGGAAATGAGCTTTTCTCCTGGTCTTGTTCTAAGAAGGACCTTGTTTAGTCCTGAAATCTGCATTGGTGCTTTAGGCACCTATACCATGATGCATAATCAAATGATCCTTTCATTCAGCGAGTCTGTAGTTTCAGGCACCTTTTAGGCTTTAGGCAGGCAGGACTCACTTAGCGACCTTAAGTTTAGTTTTCAAGAAACTTTTATGTGGTTTAGAGTTAACTTGCCAGCCAGTGAAAACTGACCTCAGAAAGGATCAAGATTCTCATTTCCCTCATTTGATTCCTGTATTTATATCATTATTTCATCCTTCTCTTAAAAAAGGATTTATCCCATGCTTGTGGTCATTAACTTTACTTTTTTCTCTCATGCAGTTTTCAGGATTTATACATCAATTGTTTTTCATGGTTCGCTCCTTCATGTTCTGTTCAACATGTTGGCTCTTGTACCTCTGGGTTCTGAATTGGAGAGAATTATGGGATCTATCCGCTTGGCATTCCTGATAATTTTGTTGGCTACCGCCAATGCAATATTTCATCTCCTTATCGCATTATTGGTAGCCCACAATCCATTTCACCCATCTCAGTATCTCATGGATGAGTGTGCAATAGGCTTCTCAGGAATTTTATTTTCTATGATCGTCATAGAAACAAGCTTGAGTGGAGTTCAGTCGAGGAGGTTGGTTCTTATTTACCTGTTCTTACTGTGAAATTTTAGTTTTCACTGTGATTATAATACTCATCACTTGTTCCTATTTTGCAACATCTGCAAATTTTTCTCTACACTAGCACATAATTAGATGTGCTTGTGCTCCTGTTGGATGCATGTGAATGAGGATATCTTTCTTTTAGTATATTGTTTTCACTGAGTAAATATTATTGTGATTATTCTCGAAGAATTTTAGTTTATTTTTACGTATCTGGTCAGTATACTCTTTTGACTGACACGAGGAATTTTTTGTCTTTGATGATAGTGTAATCCAGTAAACATTGTAATTGATTTATTTTTCGGTTGGTGCATTCTACTGATATGCAACCTCAATCCTTTGTTTTGCAGTGTGTTTGGTCTCTTCAACGTTCCTGCTAAGTGGTAAATGTTGTAACTGCTTCAGTATTGTGTCTATTTCTTATATTTGAGTTTATTTTCTCTTCAATTCTTTGTCTTTAGTTAATCATGTGGCATAATTAAACACATGATACAGGTATGCATTTATCTTACTGGTAGCATTCCAGCTTCTTATGACGAATGTGTCTTTACTGGGACACCTATGTGGCATTTTGTCTGGATTTGCATGTATGTAATCCTTGTCTAGTTTGAAGATTATACATATTTCTCCATAAATTGTGTTATACTCCACCACATAAACAGACTATGTGATTGGATTGCTATCCTTTTATTTGTCAGATACCTATGGGTTATTCAACTTTATTATACCCGGAGCATCCTCCTTTTCTGCCATTGAGGCCTCCTCTTGGTTTGTAAGTACATCACTGGACTGGCTTCTGATGATAGATAATTTTTTTCCCTGTTCTTTAATCAGACTGTTATGGTGTATTTGACTGTTAATTTACTGAGGATCTAACAATTCTCTCTCTTGCACACATCTATCCCAACGCGTTGAGGGTTCTTGGCCTTTTGAACTTGTTTTTGCCTATTTCTTACTTTGATTGTACCTCCACTTCTTTTGTGATTTCTAGTTACAATCTTGTGGGTAACTACATATTTTTGATGTGTTTTCATCAGTCATGTCTTATCCTTCACCTGTGTGTTTAGGCATGATTTTTTTTTTTTTTTTTGACATAGATATGGTTAGTGCAATTTCTAGTTACAAACATGTGGGTAACTATATATTGGTGATGTGTTTTCATCAGTCATGTCTTATCGTTCACCTGTGTGTTTAGGTGTTTTTTTTTTTTTTTTTAGCGGATTAATCTAACCAGGATGAGGGGCTGTGGGGGATGTTTTTGGCTTCCCCTTGCATGGGGTGTTAACAAGTTCAGTGTCCCTAGCATTGCTAGGAATTGAAACTGTGACCCCTTGGAAAGAAGCAAGAGGCCACTATCATTTGAGCTACAAGCTCATTGGTATATTTACGCATGATTTTATTTATTTATTGTTCTGAGTGTGATCCATTTATATATGATCTTCAGTCCTCGTGTGTGAGGAGACCTAAATTTATTTTGTGCACCGGTGGGAGTCCTACAAGCTACATCCCGACATATTCAGGCCAAAACACTAGCTCCAGGTAAATTTTGCTTGGTCCATGTTCCAAGGAAATTTTATTCCAAGAGAATTTGTAACTTGATAAATTTTATTGAACAGTGGACTATTATCTGGAAATATGTGGAGAAATTTATCTTCGTGGATGCCACAGAGGGAAACATCTGCTCAGGTGTGAGTTGTTATATTTTGAAAGTTTTTTCATAATGTTGAAGGTAAAGATTCAAGTACTGATTGTTGAAATGGTTATGATTCTTGTTAAATATCAATGGGTGTCCTCTACAGAATGGACAGAAGAAACATGTGATGCATCCTATGTCCTTTTTCTTTTTGATCCTGGTATTCCTGGGACTCGTAGATAGTTTTCTATTGTAACAACTCAATAAGATTTCTGGTTCACACAGGCTGAGCAAGACAATAGGTTTCCTGGGAGGGGAAGGACTCTTGCTTCTGGCCAAAGTGAAACAGTGCCTGCTGTGAATTCAGATCTAAACCTGCAGGCTAGACTCTTGGATAACAGCAACCCAGACCATTCATCACATTTGGGGGTAACTGCTACAAGAGAGCCACTATTAGATGGAAGGTATTGGAAACTATTCTTGCGTGCATGATACATCTCAATTTAAAGAACAGAAGCCAGCCTAGCCCTGCCCTTATGCTTTTTGATTTTGTTTTAAATTGTGGATTGTTTTCCATCTAGAAGATAGATTTAAGTGTCCCCAAAGAAAACCCAAATAATTATATTGAACCATGACAAAATCTTTTGGCTGCAGTATTATACTTGTCTGAAATTCCAAAAAAAAGAAAAAAAAGAAGAAGAAAATATGGTAGCTATACTACCATCATTTTTCAAAACTTCTTGTGCAATACTCTAGATCCTAGCAATGGTCTTGATTTATTTGGCCACCAATAATTCAAGTATTATAGAATCTTGCATGCAACAAACATTAAAATTGCAGATTTCTGATTCCAATACTACACATAAAACACACAGATAGGGGATTCTATTCTGGCACAAAATTATCGTATTTTACGAAAATGATCAACTATGTACACTTTTTATGTTCCACATCATGTGGAGTACCCATTCACTGTTTTTAGTCAAACATCATTTGCATTCTTTGCCTTTTTGCAAGTGGAAGTTCATTTCTTTTGTCCTTGGTATTCAGGATGTCAGTGGTAGATAATGCTGTTGGAGCAACTCCAGGATGCCCTGTACGCCTTCAGGTTTATTTCATTTATCTGGCAATATGATATTATCTTATATTTTTTTAATGGAAATTTCTGGGTCTTAATCATTTTTTGTTTTATGGTTTCTCTTGATTATAGGACTCAGCTCCTTCAGAGGAGCAAATCCAAAAACTAGTATCTATGGGTTTTGACAAGGTAAAATGCCTATAATTGTGCTTTCTTTTCATTTAGTGCTTTATGCAGTTTCTGTGCTTTACTTCTAAACAATTATCAAGGCTGCTTATGTATTCGCTTTGGGAGTGTGATTGAAACAGTGAACTGCTGATGCAAAGTGCAATTTATGCATATCAAATTGAGATGTTAAGGTTAACTTAAATAAATTAAAAATTTGAGAACCAAACTATTCGTTATAGTGTGCTGATACAAATGCCTTGGGATTGGTTCAGACACAGGTAGAAGTTGCAATTTCAGCTGCTGATGGAGATCTCAACGTAGCTGTTGAAATTCTGATGAGCCAGCAGGTATGTATGTAAGAGTTGCCATTCTTTATGGTTCTCAGTTTTATTTTTCTTGTACTAACCCAAAGAGATATACAATTGATGTGCAGGGATGATTTGCAATAATATGCAGGGGAAATTTGTGAAGCGATCACATCCATTGATTCTTCAAAGAAAGACCCCCATAGTCGGCCTAATACCACTGCTCCTTCAACACGTGTGATGTCATGAGGCCACAGTATACTTTGGCAGCTTTATGAGGGAATTGGGTAGGAAGGGGAAATTGTTTGAACAGGAAAAAAAGAAAAAGAAAACAGTTTACTAACTTCTGTAGAAAGAAAGTACAAGAATGGGTTGTAAAAATGTTGTTGCCAAAACCTTGAAATCAATTGGAAATATACTGTAATTGTCCTGAACATTCTCGGTTTTCCATTTGGAACAACCTAGTGCCATATGCAACATCCTGTTCTGTTGAACGTTCTCGGTTTTAAACCAGATTTGTCATATTGAAACCCTATGGATGAATTGCACGTTTGTCCGAACCAGCCAAATTACCTCTACATTAATTAATTTAATCGTACATATACTAAAAGGAATGGGGTTGTACTGCAGCTAAATCCTGAGGTATGTGCCTGATGCGTCATAATACAAGCTGAAATCTTAGGGTTTATGTGCAGACCCAAGGTTTTTCTTTCGGTGTTTATGGGTTGGCTTCTTACTGAGATGTCTGCTTAATTTGTCCATAGAACGCGCCAATTCAACTTGTGTACTACAAAAATTCTAAAACCCCAAATCCATTGTGCGTTTGAACGTCGTGTTAAAAGGTTAATTCTTAAAACTTGAATAAGTAGAAATCTGCTTATACAGGTGAAAGCACAAATTCTAAGAGCTAAGAGAAACAGAAAAAAATACTTCTGTGTTGTTTTAACGAAGGAAAACGGAAAACTGCTTGAAAGGGCAGCTCTTGCTGAAAGATATGAAATCTTGCCAAACTAAGCCCTTATGAAATGAATCATTATTTATCTCTTCTATGCTGCTATACTTTCACCGGTTGTCTTTGCCTGATTATCCAATTTTCACGCATGTAGGATTCTGGAAGTCAAATTCAACGTCTCACTAAAAAGGCCTATGCCAGGGGATTTGCAGAGTGTTGCACATTGCGGATAAAGATGTTATCTGTCTAAAACACAATGGTATGATTAAAAAAAAACACAGACGAGGGATGTTAGGCTAAGGTGACAGACAATACCAAGCTAATAAATCTATCATCAAGGGAGGCAGGGAGCTGATGGATAGCTGGTCTCTTCTTCAAAAATGTGCTTTCAGTACTGATTAATGGCTGAATTCTAGTTACTCCCATGAGATACGATTGATGATACAGATTTTGTTGACACAGAAGCAGTGGGGCTAGTAGCATCTCGTTCCACATTTCCAAAGTTCGCTTTCCCAGTCAACATTTTAATAGCTATTTGAGCAACTTCGGCAAACCAGTCATCCTCCGGCAACGTACTGGCAAGACAATTTTTATCATGGAACACATTTCACTGAGGTTGAATTGTCGATCATGTTTGTAAAGCAAATTGAAAGGATCCTTTTTTTTTTTTTAAGGAAAAAAATGCATATAAAATAGTATTATGTTTACTACTGCTAACAAGATGTACCTGTAAGGATCTACTCCAGAAGCAGCCACAGCATCAATAGCTCTTGCTATGATGTTTTTAATAACTTGATGTAGATTTCTAGACAAGTAACGACCTTGGGATGAGAAGAGCAGCACAAATTCCATATCCAAATATAACTGCATAGAAATTGAACAATTAATTATGACAGAGCTACACACAATCCAACCGCGAAGAATTTACAGTGAATATTGGCAAATGGTAAATGTACATACCTGTTGAAGGCCGAGAAGACCCAAAGGTTTTGGTCCCTCCTCTATCTCTTCCCAAAAGGTCTGATCATCAGAAAGCCAAAGGATCACTGTCTCCGTGAGTCTCATTAACAGAACCGTTGCAAATCTTTCCCGGCCTATGAACATATCAGTTGTTATGCTTCCCATCCGAGTCAATTTTATGAAAAGTTCCTGAAAGAAAACTTAGTCAAGTACTATTTGCATATCTTGACAACACAATTCTAGGAAAAGCATTTCCACCTTTCAGTTAATAAAAGAAACCCGAAATAACCACCAACTCTGTATTCAGTTCAGGTTACTATTACATATGTTTTGTATGTGTGTCGAGACGCCAGGACTCAGGCAAGTGTCTTTGAAGGATAGAGCAAAACCTAGAATCACACCAAAGCAGACTTGCAACTCAGTCTAACTACCTGGAAAATTGGAGATGGGAACCATTCAGGCTCCTCTGTGCTGTCGTCCACACTTGTGTACATATATGCGTTGAGATGAGTGTCACCATCTTCTGTGAAGATGAGATCAAGAGCATGCTGTCTGCAGAAGCTATCTCGCAAGTGATCAACTGAGCGTTGAAGCTTCTTCTTCCATTCCCTTTGCTCCGGAAGACGGGATTGCCTTTCAGAAGCTCTTTTAGGTTGTTCATCCATTCTAGTAGGAGGCAATGGCAAGAGCTTCATGGCAGCACGTGGGAGCAGTTCATCTGCTAACAATGATGCATTAGCTAGTAAAGCTAGCTGCTGGGCTTCAGTTTCTGCCATCCTGACAATTCTACTTCCTGAACCTTCCAAGCTCTCTTCATTCTCTGTTGAACTCGGTAATGCGCGTATTAACAAATTTACATAGGAGTTGAACACTTGCAGAACACCTCCCAGTGCAGGACCATCCAACTGAAGGCTCTCAAGGGGACCCACATCCTCAAGAAAGTCCTGAATTGACAATGGACGATTGGTCAAGTGAAATTTCTTGAATAATACAGGAAGGAAAGGACAAAGTAAAGCCAATAAGTATTCGAATAGCAACTATGAAAACAATAATCAGGAATTCAGGATTATGGAGAAGAAAAAGAAAGAAGCTGAACAAAGATGTTAAGAGCTTTCAATAGAGTAAAGCGCTATTAGTCACCTGAACCATGGAATTGAATTTGTTAGCACTGCTTGAAAGCTTTGGCTGTGATGCCATTACACTACCAAGAGATGCAGTAGAAGAGAAAGGGCGTCCACCTGCTGGTGGATAAGTGAGCAACCAATCATCTGCAGCAGCAAGTGCAGCGCTGCTCTGTTCAATTTTCTTTAAATTGGCATTCAATGCCTGCTCAATAATAGGCCTAAAAAGTCTCAATAAGACGGGAGTAAGGGACAATCCACGAGCTTCCAACAAAGAACAATGACCCAAGCATACATGAATGCACTCAGCAGTAACCCTTAGACCTCCTGCAGCTGCTGATTGAGCTAGAACATGCCTCTTTAGAAGAAAAGCAAAAGCCTCAGTCTCTTTGACTGCCCAAGTTACAAGCTCAGATGTATATGCAGGCTCCTCCCCATAAACCGCCAAGGAATCACTTGCTGCTTGTGCAATGGTGGAAAAGACAATCTGTGAAAGTGCAGCAGTATATGCTCCTCCACATGATTTATTAGATGAGCGAAGACTCGGCAAACTAGACTTCAACTTCTGGTGGTGAGAATTGAGTAGCAATGTATGGGCACGGGAACCATCTCCAAGATGTTTTAGAGCTAAAACAGCTGAACGAAGCTCCAGTCCACGAGTCGAAGGTTGGCCAATGGTGTCAGCAAGCTGATAAGCTAGTTTTTGTCGCTGATCCCTAATAGCAGTCTCCAAAGTAAAGAGTGCATTTGGGCTCAAAGAGTGCTTCTTACTGGCTTCGTTGGCCAATCTTTCTCCTTTCTCAAGGGCTTCCATAACTTCATCCACTCTCCTTTCCGCCAATAGAACTTCAAGGGTGTCCAAGAATTCAATTAACCAATCTTCCGATTCCGGAAGCTCCCCATCGTCGAAACTCGATAAGTCATCTGCAATAGAGTCTTCAGAAGCAGCCCACAAAGAATCAATGCCAGCATGTTCGTTCAAACCTTGAACTAGAGCTGCTTGAGTAGACAGGAAATTTCTCATGGAAATAAGCTGTCCCTCAAGATCCGAAATCTCCCTTGATGTCCTGCAGAAAATGAAAAACAACAAATAAATGAGATAACATCGTTTTCTGCAAAGTGAAAACGTGAGCAGAAGAAGCATACGTGGGTTGGTCTAACTAACCGTATGAAGGCTGCATAGTTGGCATAAACACTTTTTCGCATTTCCTCAGCAGAAGCCTTTTTCAGGTCAACCAGGTATGAGCACAAGTGCCTTATTTCCTGTATGTAATCAACAATGCAATCGTTCATAAAAACAAAATATTCAATTTTAATTCAATATATAAATTATTATCATCAATAATTAAAAAGGAAAAAAAAAGAAAAAGAGAGACCTTCTCGTTCATAGTCTGGCATTTGGAGGTGACATAGGCATTGGGATCAAATTGAGAACTTTTGAACACCTTTAAGCGATCACTTAGCGTTAGATTTCCTTCCAGCTCTGCTGAGTCTCCAATGCTCGACGTTGTCGACATTGTTGTTCTTAATTTGCTCTTGATCACAATCAATTTCAGATTTGATTAAGACCGTTAACGTTAATGACATTAGAAATCAAGCATTAAACTTGGTGGGTTTTCATTCCCACTTTTAACGAACACGCATGACTCGCTCTCTCTTCATATAATTAGTGGGATGGCTAAATAACAAATTAGTTCTCTAATTATTAATTAATTCTTAACAAAGTATCAAAATTATAAATGTCCTCAATTGGTCCCTAAAGTATTACATGTTCCTCTATTATTGGAACTTCTAGATTTTTATTTGTGTAATAGAAAGAAGTAGACTTGATAGTTAATGAGTTTTGCTCATTTCTTTTACTTTTTGAGTTTGAATTTTGAAATCAATATCCAAAAAAATTTATTCTTATAATTATTTTTCATGCTGTTATGAAATGTATTTTTTTAATATCGTGCAAGAAAGAAATTTAATATCGAGTGTTGAATTTTTATTTGGATTTTACGACTGTTCTTCACAACTTCGAGTGCCAATCTGTAAGTGTTATATATATATATATATATATATATATAATCAGCTTGTTTTTGTGTAATTTTTACTCCATGAGCCATTTGTCTTTAGGTTTGTATTGATGTAATGGACGGAGAGGAAGCAAGCAAAGATAGAGTTGCGGAAGTAGTCAAAGTACTGAAGACAGAATCAGAAAAGCTTTCTGTGAGAATTTACTCTAAATCTTCTTAGCTACAGATTAAATTATGAGTAGTTGCTAATCATATTGAGCTGGATTGGAGGTTGGGTTAGTGTTTTACTAATGTTTGGTAGCTATAGAAGCCAAAAGTTGTAAGAAATTGATTAGCTTATGCATTTTCTCGTGAACTTTTAAATTATCTTAATAGCATAAATCATGTCTATGGTGAATCTTTAAAACGATTCTTGACTTGTTATATTAAGAGCTGTTACCTGAAGTTGGATGGGTTTGCTTTTCTTCTTGGTTTTAGGCTGGTCCTGTAAAAGAAAAGGAACAAGGAGCCACGATAGCGGAAACGACAAAGCATTAGCAGCTGCTGATGGGTTCAATCATGGTGAAGTGATATATCTTACTTTGCCCTTGTCAGAAGGTGATGGGGTGATTTCAAATATGAATTCTTGCAGCAGTGTGGCAGGAATGTTACCAGCAGAGAGCTTTGTAGGGAAGGATATAGAGTTGAAGAGGATGGAGATAGAAAATGTAATTAGTTATTTGACTTGGCTCTCCTATTCATTCACCCCTCAAGCCTTTGCTCAGGTTTTAGATTGAAAAAGGTGCATTTTCTCATATTTATGTTTTTGCCTCTTGGAAACTGTGCTGCTTTGCCAAAAAGCTCGTTGTGAGTATTCCCTTTTGAGCTACTAGATACAGTTTCAGTGGCAATTATTAGTCATATTGAACTGGATTAGAAGCGTAAAACTGGTAGTTGTTGCATCTAGATGAAAAAAGTTGCGGAATTGGTTGTTGTTCACATTTACTTGTGAATTGTGATCCATCTTAGCAGTCTAATTAAATGATTATAAGCACTTGACTTGATGGTTGGTTTTCAGTTTTGGGAAACAAAGAAATAACGGCCATTACAAATCCTTGAAATGGTTCTTGTTGTATTTAGAGCTATTTCCCTAAGTGAAATCATTTCCCTGTTTTTCTGAAGTTTAGGTTGATGTTGCCAAAGCAAAGGAACAAGAAGCCACATTGGTGGAAGCGGTGAAAGCATTAACAGCTGATGGTGCGGTCAACTCTGCAGGAGTAACGATTTCTTGCGGCAGTACTGCAGATATGATGCAGGTGGAGAGCTCTGCAACAAAGGAAACAGAGCGGAAGAGGATAGAGAAAGAAAGTGTAATTAGAGTGACCTAGCTAGCTTTTGTACTCATTCATCCGTTAAATCTTTGCTTGTGTTTTAGACTGGAAAATTTCCTCTCTCTCATGGTTACTATTTCTTCAAACTTATGATATTGCATCTAAGATTGTTTCACGTACTGGGCAGAGATTGAGTGGATACCAGTATGATGGCTTTTGTACTTGATCGTGTGCTGTAGCTCAACCATCAATTAGAACTCTTTATCAATGCTTGCAAGAACTAAGAAGCAATTAGCAATTGGAAACTACATTCTTTATTTAGATGAACTAGAAACTATTGGAATTACCTTTAGAACTCTTATATTTAATGACTCCTTGTTTTCGGGAAATAAACAGGTTTACACAATGGTGGAAATGACACAAGCATCAGCACCTGCCAATGGGGCCAACTCCTCCATAGTGAGTGGTGTTTCTTCATAATCTTTGGGGTATAATGTGAGTGTTTGCAGGGGTTTTGCAACAGCACCCGCAGAGACTTTCATGATGAATGAGATGAAGGTAATAAATGTAATTTGATTTCACCTCCTTTTAAATATATGTACACTTATAGCATTGCCCCTGTCTTAAATGGTTAGTTGCATTTTTTTTCCACATGTTTAACTCTTTTTAAGCTATGATTTTGCATCAAAGCTGCTCTTTTTTTTTTTGGTGTGTGTTTGTCGCACATTGAATGGAGATTGAACATACCCCATGACAAAGCCTTTTGCGGAGGTCTATTAGTGGTTTGCTGCAGTTCAGGTCTCAATTAAAATCGTCTTCATGGCCTATAAGAACTATGAAGCAATTAACCCCATGAAGAGTTTGCTTGATCAAATATTTCTTTTTCTAGTACAGATCCCTCACTCATTATCGTGTGACCTCTGCATGCAATGGGAGTTTTCCATGTACTATCCTCTTTGCGAGTGTAAAGTTTATGTATAACAAGTGGGAGAGGGACTTGTTGAGTTTTTTACGTCATAGTCAATACCGTTTTATTTGCATCTTCTTGCATCATTTCTTGCTTTGAATTGTTGATGCATCTAAGTTATTGTCCACCTTTTATCTGGACAAGCAAGTAATCGTAAGTTTTAGTATTTTGTTTCTCAGACTGACATGGTTGAGATATCTCTTCTTTTGGTTGATAGGGCAAATGAAGAAATGCAGGCAGATGCAAAAAACGGCACGGACAGAGAACCAGTCAAGATTGCAGACAATATTGTGTTTTGTCAGCTTCTTGTGAGTGGACTTGTGTTTGCTGATTAAATGTTTTAAATATTCTGTTTTATTATACTCTCATTTCCCCTCCTCACTCCTTTAGCGGAGGCCAAGATACTTTAATGATCCTTCATACAGTAGTTCGGAGATAAGCTCCAATTGTGGTCATAAAGGTCATATGGCACGACAATGCAGAAGCAGAAAAGGCAGAAGCTATGATTCCTTTGTGGGAGTTTCGATCACATTGGGAAGGGATGTAGACAGGTATAGTACAAATGTATAATAGAGATTATAATTTATGTGCTCTCATGATCTCATCATGTGCACTCTTTACTGGAAAAAAACAAAAAAATCCAAAATTAACTTCCTTGTAAAAATTGCCTAGCTATGATAGCTATGAAGATAGAACAGATTCTATATGGGCCCTGTGATATTTAGAAAAAGTTGTGTTCCATATGGACTGAGTTACAGATGAAATATTTGTATTTGTATTGTGTGGGTACATCACAGTTTGTGTATGGCAATCTATGTGCAAGCTATAAATCATGCGAACCGGTTGCGTTAGCTTAGTTTTGTAAATTTATAATTAAATTGTAAGTGGTAGTTTATAGTTAAGGAATCATAAACTTCGTGATTTAATACATCTGGTAGCAGAGCTTCTAATGACAGATGATCACTACACTCCAATTTACTTATCCTTTTTCCTCACAAATTTCTCTTTGCTGCTTTTGTGTCATTTTGCAGTTCCAAATTTTTCTCTCAAATTTCCAAACTTTCCTCCAGTTCCCCGAAGTTAGTTAATGCTGAAAAAGTTTCCAAGTTTTCAGAATTTTGAGTCATCAAAATAAACTAACCATATGAATCAAGGATGAATGGACTTATTTTAATGTTGAAATATTGCCACATCTCTATCGTCGCCCATTCTCCAGAAGTGAGCATCGGACATGAAAGTGACTAATATTGCGAAGCCTATTTCAATCGCACACGACAACAAAGGCAGCGATGAACGCAAAGTCATTTATTTTACAAACTCAAGCATTATTTATTCTCAAAATTGTACCTAACCATCGATTATTCCATAACATACTGAAGCTTATTTCGGAATCTTGGTGCAAAATAAGGATTGATTATGTTCATTAAATTCAAATTGAATAGTTATAATTTAGTGCATATAAACAACTTTAATTCTTTAATAATATTTTATTTATCTTTCCTAATTTAAATCATTAATTCAAAGCGAACAATGATGTTTAGAATATTAGTGGTCATATTCATAAGAAAACATGAGAAGATACAGATTTATATACCAAATAGATCCCATGTCATGTCGCTCTTAGTTCCCAACGATCCATTTTTCTCGTATCTCCCTCACTTTTTGTTCATGTCCTTCAGTTTCGTTTTTCTTCATCTCTATAAATAACACCATCAACTTCCAAGTTGCTCACTCCAAATTTAAGCACCAAAAACCAATCATAATTGCAACGATGGTTAGCTTCCCAACTATCGACAAATGCGCATTCATAGGCAGAGAAAAGCACACGGTGGTCGCTGATATGGATGGGACCTTGCTTAGAGGCCGTAGCTCCTTCCCTTACTTTGCTCTACTTGCCTTTGAGGCTGGGGGGATTTTCAGGCTGTTTCTCTTGCTCCTGGCCTCGCCACTAGCAGGACTTCTCTATTACTTTGTGTCCGAGTCAGCTGGTATTAAAGTTCTTATCTTTTCTACATGTGCCGGAATGAAGGTGTCCGATATTGAGTCTGTGGCACGTGCTGTGCTGCCTAAGTTTTACTCTAGCGATCTTCATTCTGAGTCTTGGCGTGTGTTTTCTTCTTGTGGAAAACGTTGCGTTCTTACTGCAAATCCAAGAATTATGGTGGAAGCATTTTTGAAAGATTTCTTGGGAGCTGATTTGGTTTTGGGGACTGAGATATCAACTTATAAAGGTAGAGCAACAGGGTTTGTTCGCAGCCCAGGAATAATTGTGGGGAAGAACAAGGCAGATGCCCTCAAAAAGGCTTTCGAAGAGACACAGCCAGAGATTGGACTTGGAGATCGTCATACAGATGCACCTTTCATGGCTCTATGCAAGGTTAGTTAATTAGTGTGGTGGTCTTTCTTCTTCTGCCTTTTTTTTTTTAACTTGATCGTACATCACTGGGGCAAAAGCTGACAGATTGCCTTGATCAAAACTACAGGAGGGCTACATAGTGCCACCCAAGCCAGAGGTTAGAGCTGTAACAACTGACAAGCTCCCAAAACCAATCATCTTCCATGATGGCCGGCTAGTCCAAAAACCAACACCATTAACAGCACTACTCATAATTCTCTGGATCCCCATAGGCTTCATTTTAGCCTGCTTGAGAATTGCAGCAGGGTCACTCCTGCCTATGCCAATGGTCTACTATGCTTTCTGGGCACTTGGTGTCCGTGTCACCATAAAGGGAACCCCACATCCTCCAGCCAAGAAATCAACTGGTCAATCAGGTGTCCTCTTCGTTTGCTCCCACAGAACCTTACTTGATCCAATATTTCTCTCCACTGCCCTCGGCCGCCCTATTCCGGCAGTCACATACTCAGTTTCTCGTCTCTCTGAAATTATCTCACCCATCAAAACTGTTAGGCTCAGCCGTGACCGTGCTACAGACGCGTCAATGATCAAGAAGTTATTAGAAAAAGGTGACTTAGCTATATGTCCTGAGGGAACCACTTGCCGTGAACCATTTCTTTTAAGGTTTTCAGCTTTGTTTGCTGAATTAACAGACCAGCTTGTTCCAGTGGCTATGGTGAACCGGATGAGCATGTTTCATGGAACCACGGCAAGAGGGTGGAAAGGGATGGATCCATTTTACTTCTTCATGAACCCTAGCCCAGCGTATGAAGTAACTTTCCTGAACAAGTTGCCACAGGAGCTAACATTAAGTGGAGGGAAGTCTAGCCATGAGGTGGCAAACTACATACAAAGAGTGATTGCTGCTACTCTCTCCTATGAATGCACTTCCTTGACTAGGAGAGATAAGTACAGGGCACTTGCTGGGAATGATGGAACTGTGGTTGAAAAAGCGCGAAAGCTCCAAGCTAACAAAGTAATGGGGTGTTAATTTTACGTGTTCCACAATTTGAATTTAATTATATACCTCTGTGGGTCTATCACCAAGTATCCTGTGCCATTTGGGGGCACAACTTGTTTCAATTTTCAAGTTGAAGAGAGAAAGGGATACATCCACGTGTTTCCTTTCATGTTTCAAACTAATTTCATCTTTGGTATAAGTGATATTTGCAAATAATGAAGAAGCAAAATCAAGCTCAATTGCCTCTTCAGGGAGGACGCATTTGAAGCATAGCTATCTCTGCGTTTTTCCTATACTTTAGCTTCGGTTGCTGGTGTCATTGTTACCAGTACCGAAGTGTGTCTGTGAAGTAGATAAATTTAGCAGTAACATAAAACTTTAAAAATATATTAAAGTACACACAAAAGTACATAGCAGCAGGCAGGCACAAGTAGTTTTTTGAGTTGTGCAGGACGGTGCATAGCACAACCACCACGCACAACCATAGCTGCTCAGAGCTAGCCCTCTATACTGGCAGAAGCTAGCACCAAACAGTGGTCTATCCATCGGTCTTCCTCGTCTCCTTAGTGATCTCGTTCGGTGGCTTGACAATAAGGATGGGACATTTTGCATGGTGGGCGCAGTAGTCACTTACACTTCCTAGGAATGCTCTGTAACAAGCAAAATTCTGTTACTAATAGACACATAAATTGACAGCAACTATAGAATGTACTGGTAATTAATTACCTTTTGATCTTGCCTAGACCACGGCTGCCAACAACAAGAAGATCAACTTGCATCTGCTCTGTAGCTTGACAAATTTTGTCTTTCGGATCCCCTTCAAGAACAAGAGTTTCTGCTTTGATCTGCTCGACATTTAACAACAAGATCAGAAGAAGAGCCTTAATTGGCCTTGAGATGTATAGGACTCAGGATTGAATTTTATATTATTTGTATGACCTTATTAATAAAAATAAGGAACATAATTAAAGACCAAGAGAAAGGAATTAAACGATAATTTCCAACTTTTATTTTAGATGATCAACTACATTTCATTTGGCTTTGAAAACCATTTACTGAAGCAATTCTTCAGAAAGTAAATAACTTAATTACTTTTTTTCCTCTTTAATTACCATCTTATCTTTGCACATCTGTTTTGCACGGGAGAGTAGCGCCGTAGCATTTTCTGCCTGCGATTTCCTCACAGATTCTACGATCGAAGATGTTGCATAAAAAGCTGCTGCGTTATTACGAAAGCAATCAATCGTACTTAACTATAATTACCACATCATAATTAACTTAGCAAATAAACACTACTTAAATTAAGCTTTGTTGACATGCACGTAAACGAGGGATCTTAACCTGCTCCACCAGGACCAGCAGGGTACATGTGGTACTGGAAGGGCTGTTGAACATGAACCAGTGTGACCATCCCCGATTCTTCCTGGCTCGGTTCATTTGTTGGAACGATGCCATCTACAAGATGGTCAAGAGCCCAGTTCAGAGCATAGAAGCTCCCATCGCTCTCATCCATCGCCACCAGAATCCTCAATCTCTTTCTGATTTCTACTTCCTTTAACGGCGCCTGCTGCAGCTTCTGCTCTTGCGTCCCTACCCTTTCTAAATTCTCACCTCCCTCCATTATTACCACTGTCTCAACATCTTCTTCCAACTTAATTATATACCCAATTGTCACCCACACCTTAAGATGCTTGGGGTGTTACGTGGAATTTGGTTTCGGCAAAATTTCGACACATGGAGTTCATGCAGGTAGAGAGTTCCAAATTATCATGCATGGCAAACAAGACAATTGTCATGACCACATGAGCAAAATATATTTGTACCTTTCGGTGATTATACTCATGTTGGCTAATTAGATTAATTCTACACATGTTGGCTACCTTAATCCAAACTAATTCCAAAATACTTCATTATTTGTAAAAATAAAAATAAATTTATTATTATGCTGTGTTGTCACCCATTACAAAGAACCCTAGAAGAAATGGGGTTTTAATTATACTATCAACACACTCACATAACACTATTTACTTATGCCACTTTTGTTATTTTAAGGAAATAATATTTTTGGTTGTTTAAATTTTTTTTAGATATTTATTTCCCTCACAATACTATTGACATACCTTTTAATGGTTTTTTTTCCGAGCATTTTATAAGTAAAGTTTTACTCATGTTATTCTTTCATCTCTTTTTTTTTCAACGTGATCTAGGCACCATTATATATTATATACCATCAAACTGAAATTAATTATTTTTTAAAATAATTTTACATGTTATGTCTGATATTCAACATAACGCAGGTAAAAATCTAGTTCATCTCCATTATCTGTTTGATGAAATTAATTAAGTATAATTTTTTAATTTTTATCAAAATAAAAAATTTACCTTGCCAGATGAATTGTCTTTTTTACAATTTGAATTATTATTACTATTTTTATTTTTTTTGGTCATCGTCATCATTATGCCACCTTCTTCTTAAGAGTAATTCTTTAGTTAATTTTAACAAATTACATTTAATTAGGTAAAATAAAAAATACAAATATTTAATTAACCGAAATAATAATAATAATAATAATAATCATCATCATCATAAAGTAGCCTGTTACTGATGGGCTTAGACACACATGTTCAGCAGAACAATCCGAAGGGAAGAAAGAATCAATTGTGGGATCTCATTAATTTCTCCAAGTCAAATAAATTGCTTCAAACCAAATGGCATCCTTAAATGTCGGGTTGCATATATACTCCGCGTCAGAATTTTGTTTTTATTACGGATAGCTGAAAATGTTTCTTTAGTGAAAAAACATGCGAGGGCTAGAAGACCAGGGCATATTTGCTAGCTGTTATTTTCCTTCTTCCTTTCAACGTCGTGCTTCTTCCTATGAATTCCATTCCAAGAAATAAGAACTAAGATGCTAATCAATTAATACAACTTGCTTTGCCCTTTTGTCATTTCAGTCAAACGAAAATCATTTGATGAAGTTCATTAAGTCTTTAACAGTTTCTGTTAATGAAAACGGCATCAACGATAATGCATGTGTCTCCCCAAGCAGATAATTTACCACCTTTTCTCCTTCCAGTGTCATACGGCCTTATTTATGGATAGCTATCTCTGCATCTTTCCCACAGCTAGCATTGGCAAGTGAAAGTCAGATGAAATTGCTAATTGTTTTCCAGAATTTTCCCTTAAATTGACAGATATATGGTATTCTTATTTCTTAGAACTCTATAAGAACTTTAGAAGTGGTAAAATAATTGTCATTTTTGAAGTTAGGCAGAGGTATTTCACACTTGGATGACCAAATTTCCAAAAAAAACATAGCGGTCTTGTTAGCTGCTAAGCACATGCATAAGAAGGTCTCTATATCTACCTCTTCAGATTAATTTGCAAAAACTTGTGCTTTCACACCACAATCTTACTCTTTGTCATGGATATCCGCCTCCCTCAAGTGTAATATTCTTCAATTTCTCTCCAGCGTTGTACTAAAATATACGTGACATCTCATCAAAAGAAATCCAACAGTATATAAAAATATTATCTTAAGATTGGAAATCCCATTCTTGTTGATGTGAAACCGAGATCAACTGCTTTTTTTCACCTCCTCTCCTTTGATTAACGGTTGTGGCTACTATGAGCAATATTCTTGTTTTATCCTTTTGATAATGAAAACAACAAATCTTCACGTGAAGTTTGAGCTATAGATAAAGAAAAAGAAAAAGAAAAAGAAAAAGAAAAGTGAGCTTAAAAGCGTAATAAGGTCTTGTTAGTTTTGTTTTACATAAAATCCTAAACTAATGAATCGCACATGATGTGGTACTAATAACAGTATTTATGCGTTCCTCTTTATTGATATACATATATTAAAGAGAATACAATGCGCTAAAACAGCTTCGTTTTGAGTCTTGCAAGGACTTTCGTTTTTTCCAAAGCAATGCAGGATATTTTTGTCATTTTATCAACTTTTTTACACTTTAATCCTTTAGTTATAATTTTATACAAAATGGTTCGTAATTAATTGTTTTTGTATAAAGGCTCTCATATTTTTTATGGCTGGGATGTACTTCCAACCCGAGCGCTTGGGCTTGGTTGTCTCCAGCCCAACCCATCCAAGCCTAGCCTCTTTTTTATATACTTTTTTCATTATTTATTATTTACTCAAAATAAATTTTTTCTCCATAATTAATGATTATTTTTTTATTTGTTTTAGACTCATTAACTAAAAGAAACAATTTTCTAATATAAATTTTTTTAAAATAATTAATTGCATGTTTTTTTTTCAAAATAAAATATATTACTAAGATATATTTAAACTCATATATATATATATATATATATATGTGTGTGTATCCTCATAATTATCGCTAATATATATTTATTTTATGCCTAGATTATCTAGTTACATTTTTATTTTCTTATAGATTCATTAACAATATATAAATTGATTTAAATGGCAATGACTAGGTACCCGGCCTAACAACGGGTAGAGTATTCTTTATTTATTTTTTTCGTTCGTCTATGCAAGGAAACTTAAAAAACCATGAAATAAATCTCTATCCAATTTAAATTTATAAATGAATGTATATCTATTGAGAATTTAAACAGAAGTTATCGAGATCTTTAAATAGTTTTGTGGTATATTTTTTAATGACATATGCTTGGACTATTTTCTTAATAAAATGTCATTTATTCAGTAGACCATTTGAGAAAAATTGAAACTCAAAAAGATTCAAAATCTTTTATCATGATAATAATCTCTGATTTTTTTTTTAAGAAATCTTCAAAGGGATTACAACTCGGAATTTCTACCAACAAATCCTATGTTCAAAATCGATGGAACGAACCATAACTTTGAATTTTTATAAACAAATCTCAAATTCATGAATAAAATAGGTGGAATTAGAGAAGAAGGAGAGCTATCCTTGCTTTGTAGCCCATGATACAAAAAAAAAAAAAAAAAAAAAAAAAAAAAAAACAAACTTTATTAACAAGCCCTCCCAGCTTGTGGTTCGATCACTCAAACACATTGCCCGCATGACTGTCTACACAGTACTCTTTTTAACTTGTGCTGGTTGCCAAATAAATATCTAGTGGCACTAATCAAACTCTCAGCTTCTGCAACCAAAAACCAGGAGGAAAAAAAAAAAAAACCTCGACGTCACATTGCCACTAAGTATTAGCAAAACCATGTTCCATCCTAAACAACTTCCTCAACTGCCTCTCCTAATTGGTTAATATGAAAACTCATTGTTATGGTGAACAAATCAATTGAACTGTCATCCCCTTTCTTAGACATCTATCAATAGTAACTACATATTCATTCCTACAAACAAGAAGTACACCATTAATTAATTACCATATAATATTTTTTGGACAAAATACATAGAATTGCAATTCATGATCCAATCAGATTTGAATGTCAAAACTACACACACATTTGCTTTTACACTCCAGAATTCATTGGGCTTATGATATAAATTGTGATAAAAAAAAAAGAATAAAGAAAAAAATATTTTTTACAAAATTGAAAATCCAAAAAATTTATGTGTATATGTTATTGCTAGGATCTTGGGGAAGGTTAATTGTTTTGCCATGTTGTCATTCTTCTCAGTTAAACTCAAGTTCGAGTTAATTTGCATGTAAACTAAAAAAATATATATATATATCAACCGATCAATGAACCGAGCAGCAAAAGCTAAAAACATGTTTGAAAACGAAAAAACGAAAACAATAAAGAAGCAGTCAGTAGTACTATCGTAAAAGGAAAGATCATGTCACCAACCACTCGAACCGCACGTGACCCCTGGATCCAAACTGCCACGTCCACAAGTTCGTACATCACCAAACACATCTCTCTACGTGGCACATCTTCATTGGTTCTTCTCTTCCATATCTCCACTCCAGCCACAGTATCCCTCTTCTCTTTCCCACACTACCCCCGCGTGTCTCCCATAATCACATAAATAGCCTTCAAGCACCAAAAAGTCCCCTTCGTCTCTTTCTCTCTCTAGCCAGTGCTATTGCGAGTGCATCTTCTGGCTACACACAAAAGTCCCGCTTTGGCTTCTCTTCTTCTCGGTCTCTGCTCTCGATTTCATTCTCGCCTCTCCGATTACAACGATCGAACGGTCCACACCACCCATGACTATGATGACTCCTCCACCGTTAGATGTAGTCTCTTCCTCCCCCATTCTCGCATGTCATTCAAAGTTTATATTTTGCATTTTTTTAGTATTTAGTTCTTGGATCGTTTAGGGTTTCTGATTATTGTTAAATCGAGAGTTTGCTGAATTGGAATTGAAACTGAGTTTGATTTTGTATGCTTTGATTTAATTTTATCAAGGCTAGGGTTTATTGATTGTGCGTGTTTGCGTTTTTTTTTCTTCCGAATTTTAAGCAAGAAGACGAGGAGATGCTCGTGCCGCATTCAGATATAGTTGAAGGTCCACAGCCAATGGAAGGTAAGAGAGCTGCATCCTTTTTTTTAATTCGTTTTGTTTGATCGAACGGATCTTCTGTTAGAGTGTATTATACGTTTTGATTGACTTGTTACGGTTTGATAATTTTGGTGGTGATTGTTATTTTTTGATGTGGTAGTAGTGGCACAAGTGGAGCAAACTACTACTGTGGAGAATCAGCCAGTGGAGGATCCTCCGTCGATGAAATTTACTTGGACTATTGAGAATTTTACTAGATTGAATTCGAAGAAGCATTATTCGGATGTATTTATTGTTTGCGGTTACAAATGGTAGGCAGATAAACTACGAAGTCTATATATTTGATTAGTTGGAGTTGTTTACGAGTTGCGATTTGTGGTGTGGATCAGCTTGTGGTTGATTTCATTTGGTGTACTTGTAACAGGCGAATATTGATCTTCCCTAAAGGAAACAATGTGGACCACTTGTCTATGTATTTGGATGTTGCCGATTCGACGACATTGCCATATGGATGGAGTAGATATGCACAATTCAGTTTGGCTGTGGTCAATCAAATTCATAATAAGTACTCAATTAGAAAGGGTATCTTCTTTGATGTTCCTATTTAATGGCTCTTTTTGTTATTGTAAATTTTGTCCTATTTGATTTATTACAAAAGTTTATATTGGATCAATTTGTTATTGAATTGTCATGTGGATTGCTTGCTTGAGTGCATTATTATATTTCCTGTAGAGCATGTGTTCACTTTAATCAATAATTGATTGCCAATTTGTTATTTTTTATGACCTTTGTAGATATATTGTCAATAATTGCCTGTTTTATAATCCGTATGACTTTCTAGACATATTGCTAGTGATTGTTTATTTCGTAAGTGTATTGAAAGAAAAAAGTAAATGCACCAAGGGGCCTTCAATATACAAGGTTAGAATTAGCGTACAAACGATTTAGTTTGAACACCACAATAGACAACCAACTGAGTTTGGAATTCTTGACATTGAAAATAATCTCATCAATTATAGATGTGACTATCTTGTTCTTTGAGGGTTTGGGCTGTTTTGTAAATTTATTGTTTTGCTATGCAGAAAGTAGCAATATCTCCTGTTTTCTTAAACATGAACGGTAGCTTCATAGATTGAAATGATCTCTAAAAGTGGTCAAACTAATCCCATTAGTTCAGTCCTGGAACATAGTGGGTTCTGGATGCCTCGACCTAGGTCATTCAGAAATTATCATAATGGAGGATGGCTGAGCTTGGCTCTTGGTTATTTTTGTTGAATGTATGGAAAACACTATATTGTGTAAGGGATATTTCAGCAGTCAGCTTCTTTTTTCACATGGTGTTCAGATACTGAAGCTTTTTGTGGTCTTTGATATTATTCTAATATTGCATTTGCTTCTAAAAATAAACATTTGCAGACACACAGCATCAGTTCAATGCAAGAGAGAGTGACTGGGGCTTCACATCTTTCATGCCTCTGAGTGAACTTTATGATCCTGGTAGAGGTTATCTAGTGAATGATACAGTTGTTATTGAAGCTGAAGTTGCTGTCCGTAAGGTTCTAGATTATTGGTCCTATGATTCAAAGAAGGAGACAGGCTATGTAGGACTGAAGAACCAAGGAGCAACATGTTACATGAATTCTCTCCTACAGACTCTGTACCATATTCCCTACTTCCGAAAGGTCAGCTCATCATCAGGTTTTCTAAGCTCATCTTGACTTGTGTGAACACACTGTTCAAATGGAATTGCTTCATTCTGAAATGTACCTTTTCAGGCTGTGTACCACATGCCAACAACTGAGAATGACATGCCTACAGGAAGCATTCCCTTGGCCCTGCAGAGTTTATTTTATAAGCTTCAATATAATGATACCAGTGTTGCAACAAAGGAATTGACCAAATCTTTTGGCTGGGATACATACGATTCCTTCATGCAACATGATGTGCAAGAACTCAACAGAGTCCTATGTGAGAAGCTAGAGGATAAAATGAAGGTATTGAGCGTTCAACAGTTTTGGGATAGATTTTCATTAAGTTAAGTTTCCAACTTCTTTTCTGCTGGTCCAGGGGACTGTCGTGGAGGGGACTATACAGCAATTGTTTGAGGGTCACCATATGAACTACATTGAGTGCATCAATGTGGACTACAAATCTACAAGAAAGGAGTCATTTTATGGTACTATATTTGGTTAGCATTTAAATATTCTGTGCAATGATGTCCCCCTAAGACACTGATATGTAGATATTACATGGCAGATCTCCAGCTTGATGTGAAAGGTTGTCGAGATGTTTATGCTTCTTTTGACAAATATGTTGAAGTTGAACGACTTGAGGGTGATAACAAATACCATGCTGAAGAACATGGTTTGCAGGTCAGTCAATGTTTGTGAATAGATGAGAGCCAGACTATGAGATTTGTTTAAGCCAGTGTGAAATGTATACAGTCACTCTCTTGCAACTCTCTCCTCAGGCACATACACACAAAAATATGAATCCAGTACTACATAGCATCTCAGGGTGCCTTGTACAGAAACAAGAAGCTCATTTATAAGGCCATTGTGAAATGCATGGATACCAATTATGTTTTCTAGGTCCTGTGCATTCATCATATTCAGTGGCCTTTTTTTTTGTTGTATCATAACTATGCTGAAATTTATGGTTTCATATCGGAAAATGAACTGCATGTAAGTTCTATTGGTGTCATTAAAAGAGAGATGATTCTGGTAACTCCTAGTGAAATTGTGTGTTCACTGTCAGACCCCTGTATAATATATTTAAGTAGTTTGAGGAGTTGCCCTTAGGAGTGGTGAAATTTATCCGAGCTTCTTTCCAAGCTATGTCAGTTACAATGATGCCATTGTGTTGGAAATGTGGGCTATGAACATGTTTTTGGGTTATACCCCATGGTTCTTTTCTACTAGAACCCTTTATTTTAGATCAGCTCCTAAGGTCATTCTTCTCATGGCATTTGCTTGAACTTATATGTGTTTCAGGATGCAAAGAAGGGTGTCTTATTTATTGACTTTCCCCCTGTTCTTCAACTCCAATTAAAGCGGTTTGAATATGATTTTATGCGCGACACGATGGTGAAGGTCAGCATTTGTAACTGGTTCTTATGCTAAATATCTTGGGATTGTTGCTATGTGCTGTTATAAGCTAGAATATTTTAATAACTGGTGGATTGGTTGATGAACAAATGCTACTTAAGCCAAAATATGTTTGTTTCTACTTACTGATTGATATTTGCTTTCGTAGATAAATGATCGCTATGAATTTCCTCTTCAACTTGACCTGGATAGGGAGAATGGGAAATATTTATCACCTGACGCAGACAGGAGTGTGCGTAATCTATACACACTTCACAGGTAACAGTCATGTGGTGCTTTTGCTGCCTAGATCTGAGCATTGTATATTGCAATAGTTTTCATCGTGAGCCTTGATAAGTTCCTTGAGCGTTTTGATTCATGGATTTCTTTTCGTGCTTGATATGTCTGCATTCAACTTGCTGGAACTGGACTTTCTTGCTTCCCAAGGCTGCATGGTTCTCTGGAAAGTAAAATCAACCTAGTAACTTTTTGTGCTAATCTAAAGTAATATTATACTTATCACTATCAGAAACCATTACAAGCTTCAAAAGACCAGAAATGTTGTGTTTTTTCATTGTTTGAACCATTTTCATGAGCTTGTTGATCTCCTTTTTCCCTATCTCTGCATAAATAGTCATTGTTGTGATGCAATAGCAACATGCGTCGTGCATAACTTCCTTGAATAGCCTATAGGAATGAAAGATAAATCTATTAGCTTGTATAGTTGAAAGATAGACATGTTGGAGAAACATGGACTGCAAGCACATAATATACATTGTACATATTTCTCCCTCTGCAGCTTGGCAATTGTGTTTGGTTTTAGGAATATATTTGTTAATATGCTGACATCTCAATTTATTCTTGCTTTCCCCTACAGTGTTTTGGTTCACAGTGGAGGGGTGCATGGTGGACATTATTATGCTTTTATCAGGCCGACCCTCTCTGATCAGTGGTATTGTTGTATACCTTATGCTTGCTCATACGCACACATAATTTGCTTGCCCCTTATGACATCAATGCTGGGAGAATAAAGCCTATACCAACTTATACTCATATATGAGAATAATGGTCTCCTTAATCTGCGCTCTCACCTTTTAACTGTGCCTGAATGCTCGTACTTTTGTTGAGAAATCCTCTGTTTTTAACACCATATGATACTTGGTTTTCCTTTTTAGGTTCAAATTTGATGATGAACGGGTGACAAAAGAAGATATGAAGAGGGCATTAGAAGAACAGTATGGTGGCGAGGAAGAGGTAATGGTTCCCAAACATTGCTGTAAATGCTGTCAATGGTACATATGATTGATGGTGAACTGACTTTGGACTCTTGTTCTGCTATGTCTACCAGCTACCTCAGACCAATCCTGGCTTTAACAATACTCCATTTAAATTCACAAAATACTCAAATGCATACATGCTTGTGTATATAAGGGAAAGTGACAAGGACAAGATAATTTGTAATGTTGATGAGAAAGACATTGCTGAACACTTGAGGGTAAATTACTTCGCTTTACTTATCATTGCAATAAGCTCTGCAAATTTAGTTATGGTGTCTGAGTGTGCACATGGCAATGAAGACCAATAACTAATTCATTCAACATCTCATTCAGATAAGACTGAAGAAAGAGCAAGAAGAAAAAGAAGACAAACGAAGATATAAAGCACAAGCTCACCTTTACACGATTATAAAGGTGTTTTTTTCCTCACCTTTAATTTTTATTGTCGTGTATTGTTAGTGATGGCTAGCATCTACCTAGGGATGTTTACAAATCATAATAAAGCTATATATTATTGCATCTAGGTTGCACGAGATGAGGACCTTAAAGAGCAAATTGGAAAGGATATTTATTTTGACCTTGTGGATCATGACAAAGTCCGTAACTTCCGTATTCAGAAACAGATGCAGTTCAGTCTTTTTAAGGTACTAAATCGGTGTAATTTGCTAAGAATTTTGACATTGTGGATGATGAGATAGTCCGTGGTTTTCGATATCTCATGTTGAACTGGATTACAGGAGGAGGTTGCTAAAGAGTTTGGTATACCGGTACAATTTCAGCGATTTTGGATATGGGCAAAGCGTCAAAACCACACATATAGGCCCAATCGACCATTGACACCCCAGGAGGAAGCACAATCAGTAATTACCACTCATTTTCTCATTCAAAATTAATTTATGGGAGTTGTCATGGCTTAGTTGTGGCGTGAATTGTATTTCTTTTAGATATTTGCATGATTATTTATGTTCCGAGTAAGAACAGAAGTGGATAAGGTTTTGGGAATTGTTTAGACATGGTGATCGGTGATGCCTTCTTTAGCTTTTGCCAGCTATGGCCATGTGCTATCAGAGAACACACTTTTGGGTTGGCAATCCCAGAGTATGGCCTTTTTTATGTAACTGCTAGCATTGAAACTTTGTGACCATGACTATGGAATGATACAATTGTTTTGATCACATTGCAGTGTTTTTTTAACTTGCACTATGCTGCGTTGAAATGTTTTTGGAGATTTATTGTTTAGTCTAATTTTGATGATAGCCATTTCTTGGATGTAGGTTGGACAGCTGAGAGAGGTGTCAAATAAGACGCATAATGCTGAATTAAAGTTGTTCTTGGAAATTGAGATTGGGCTGGTACATTTTCTTATCAATGATAAAATTTAATATCTGCAGTTGTATTTCTGTCCATGAATAATGCTTCTACTGAGTTTTTTGCAATATCTCAGGATTTACGCCCCATTGCTCCACCTGAAAAAACTAAAGAAGATATCCTGCTTTTCTTCAAGCTTTATAACCCTGAAAAACAAGAATTACGGTACTTTATAATCTTTTGCTCTGTTTTGTTGTCCTATTTTTGTTCATTGCATTCACTTGATGCTCTCTGACATTACAACTTATTCTATGATTCCAGATATGTTGGCAGGCTTTTTGTGAAGAGTTCTGGTAAGCCAATAGAAATTATAGCAAAGCTTAATCAAATGGCTGGCTTTGCACCTGCTGAAGAGATTGAACTTTATGAGGTTTGTGTCTACCAAGTATACTTAATCTCGTATCAATTACATACTGTGTTTTATTAAAGTTGGCTACCTTAACTAGTCAGTCAAGAAAAGGCGACATAACCATACCACCAAACCTATTGCGCAAGTTTATTCAATATTCATAAGCAGATATTGTCTTCTTAGCAGAAGGATTTTATTTGATCTGTGCTGTTCAGGAAATCAAGTTCGAGCCTTGTGTCATGTGTGAACATCTTGATAAGAGGGCCTCATTTCGAATAAGTCAGGTATGTGCCTCTTTGCTGATGCTGGAATGTTATCAGATTATCAGATCAGCAACTGATCTTTTGGTACTTTATTCACAGATTGAAGATGGGGACATAATATGCTTTCAGAAATCTCATCCTCTTGAAAACAAAGAAGACTGTCGATATCCAGATGTACCTTCATATTTGGAATATGTGCACAACCGGCAGGTACTTCCTTCTTGAAATGAGATTTTCTAGGCATCTAACTTTCTTTTTATGATGGAATTTTAGAGATGGGGGCAGATTAGGGTCAAGGGTGGCACCATTTGTATTCCTGAACTTCTATTCAGTAGTTAGATTATATAGAATTATTCAATTTCATTAAAGATTTCTCCTGATTTGTCAATTTTAAACTCAATTCTTTTGTGTTATTTGATTCTTTATAGATAGTTCATTTCCGATCTCTAGAGAAGCCAAAGGAGGATGATTTTTGCCTAGAGTTGTAAGTACTCAGATCCCAAGTAATGTTTTATGCTTGGTTGAGAAGTCTTTGGTGCTGTCATATAGACACTCATAATCTACTCTTGGTGCTTTTCTAGGTCAAAGTTACATACTTATGATGATGTTGTTGAACGAGTGGCCCATCAGATTGGTTTGGTTGATCCATCCAAAATCAGGTTAACATCCCACAACTGCTACTCTCAGCAGCCTAAGCCGCAACCAATTAAATATCGAGGAGTGGAGCATCTATCAGATATGTTAGTTCACTACAATCAGGTATCTGTTACATGGATTGAAGTGATTGGTTTATATACTGTTAATGGAATTATATAGTGTGACTAATAATTTCTTTGTTCTCTTCTTTCTATAGACTTCTGATATCCTGTATTATGAAGTTCTGGATATTCCTCTTCCGGAATTACAAGGTCTGAAAAATTTGAAAGTTGCTTTCCATCATGCTACTAAAGATGAAGTAAGCTTGAAATCTGTTGCTATCTTATTTTTGTTCCTTATTGTATGGATCATCCTCGTGTCTTTCTTCTAATCTTATTGCAACTGTTTTTAGGTGGTAATTCATAATATTAGATTGCCTAAACAAAGCACTGTGGGAGATGTGATTAATGAACTTAAAACAAAGGTAAGAACTTAGCTGTAGTTATGTACTGAAGCATAGTTATTCCTGAATCATATTTTATATGAGCCTGCTTGATCTGGACAGTGATTTATAATACCGAAGACAAAAAATTTTAATCCTCAAGTTTCACTGATTTTTCTTCTTAGATAGTGGTTTTATAGCTATTCTCTTCCCAATATATTTCTCTGAAGCATAGCTTTTACAGTACAGTAAATCTTTATTGTGATGTTTTCCTCGCAACATATTTTCTTGTCATGGCACATGATAAATTTGCTAATGCTTGGTTCATGCTGAAACAGGTAGAATTGTCTCACCCAAATGCTGAACTTCGACTGCTTGAAGTTTTCTATCACAAGATTTATAAGGTAGTAACTGGTTTTGGTTAGCAAATAAGATAATGACTTTAATCCTGAAGTTTGTTTGCTGCCAAATGATAAATATCCTTCCAGGTTAAATAGCAATGATAATGTGTTGGACAATGTGCAGTGATGCACACTTTGACTACTTTAGAAGTTTTGCTGGCAGCACTTATATGTGATTTCTTGTAACACAGTTTTGGCTTCTTGCCATTGCAGATCTTTCCACCCAATGAAAAAATAGAGAATATAAATGACCAGTATTGGACGTTGCGAGCAGAGGAGGCAAGTTCTTTTTCTTGTTGTCACCTTGTCTGTCTTCTCTCGGAAACATCTCAAATGTGTCTGCTTCTCTATTACCTTTGTAAATTAAGTTGAAGTTGTCATAGTTAAACCTTGGATGAATTTGTATATGACTCTAAAATGTGAGGGCATAGGGCATGAATGTGTAAGCATGCATGCTTGTGGGTGTGGCGTTTGTAACAATTTTGGGAGAGTGCTAATATGAATTATTAAAGGTGTGCCAAATAAAAATGCAAGCATCCATTACGAATACACCATTGCCTTGCCAAAAATTTCACCGAGGATGTGTGACATGGCAATTAATGATCTGTGCCCTGTGCTTACATATTATTTTCCTAGAAACTGTCTCTTGAAGTTTATTAATTAAAATGAAAACTATGATCTTTTTAAATTTCTGTTGAACTTGTAACTTCCAGATTATTATGAAATATACTATCTTGGCTTAATCAGTTTTGTAAATGAAACATAAGCTATCAATGCTTATTTAGTAGAATATTTGAAGGTTGTTGAGTAGCTAATTTTTGCAAATAGCCCTGAATTTAGCCAATGTCTGTTAACCCAGGCCAACAGACATGAAGTGTCCTTTCAGCTGATTAACAATCCTGGACACTCCTTCAGACATGAGATTGTGTATTTATGTGTCTTAGCATTGTTGTGTTGATGAAGCTAACCCCCCTACATCTGTCTTGCTCTCTCTAATTTCACAGATCCCCGAGGAAGAAAAAAATCTTGGTTCCCAAGATCGCCTTATTCACGTTTATCACTTCACAAAAGAGTCTGGACAGAATCAAATGGTATGGTTTATAGATGCTTAAACCACAGGCTTTTGTTTGCTCTAGTTGTTTGGCTGCTATCTAATGGCTGTTATTGAATAGATAGATTTACAGGTTCTTACATACTTATACATTTTGTGTCCTCAACAGCAAGTGCAGAATTTTGGTGAACCCTTTTTCTTGGTCATCCATGAAGGTGAAATTTTGGCTGAAGTCAAAATGCGTATACAAAAGAAACTGCAGGTTCCTGACGAGGAATTCACAAAGGTATTTTCTTTGCTGTTTGGTTAAGGAAATAAGCACACAAGCCACCCTGCCTGACACTTAGCAATTATCATGCCTTAGATTGTAAATTTTTGCTTTTGCTTTCTTCCGTACTGTGTTTATATTTCAAGTATGAATCAATTCCTCATTAACCCTCTTTCTTTTGGCTGTTCAGTGGAAATTTGCTTTTCTGTCACTGGGTCGTCCAGAGTACTTGCAGGATTCTGATGTTGTGTTCACCCGCTTTCAGGTGCTGTTACAGGGCTTTTTTTTTATTTTTCTAGTGAATTTCCATTTTTTTCATAGCATTTCCTAGCAACTTTGTCATTATTGGTGCTCTCTCTGTTTTTTTTTTTTTTTTCCCATTTTCCAGAGAAGAGATGTTTATGGAGCTTGGGAGCAGTACCTTGGCTTGGAGCACTCTGACAATACTCCTAAAAGGTCTTATGCAGTAAATCAGGTTTGCATTACTCGTCCGATTACAAGTGCATGTGCATGTGGTTACTAAGGATGTGCTTGGTATGCTGGACAGGACAAGGGTAGATGAAATTTCAGCAAAAGTTCATTTTGATCCCTGAGTTTTTAATTTTTAATTTTAGTCCCTATAATTTGTTTTCATGAAATTTTATTCCTTATTAAAAAATTTTAGCCCTCTAAATTTTTTTTTGTGCAATTTAGTCAGAAATCATAGGACAAGAACATGTACTTGTTCGTTGTCTAGTTTAGTTCTGTCTAGTCCAGACCAGTTCTATTTGTCTCGTCGTGTCTTGTGTACCAAACACACCCAAAGACTCAGAGATCAGTTCTTACTTTTATGGAAAGTTAGAATCATTTAGTTTTTGTCAATACATGTAGTGTTAGCATCACATTACTTTTTTCTTTTCATCTTTCATTGATTGCTCTCAAAATGTTGCAGAACCGACACACATTTGAGAAGCCAGTTAAAATATACAATTAGGGAAGAGCTGATTACCCTCCACCGGCGCACAAAGCTGAGTCGGACATCTTTCATGCTACAATGTAGAGGATGAGAATGATTGGTACATCTGAAGGAAGAAGACAATGAAGCTCGAATTAAAATGATTTCTGTAGGATTTGATAGTTGGTTTTGTAGGCTATATGTTTCTCTGATGCGATGGGGGGAAGGTGGGAGGAGGTCTCTCCTTTATGTTGTGTGTTGTTATGGTTGATACACCCTGCCTGCTTGAGCTCCTGTCTTTTCCTGCCTTTCTCCTAATGAAGACAGCTCCTTGTTTTAAGAGGTTGGTGTCCTACTCTTACCATATACAGCTCCAGGGTATTTTAGCAGTACATAAGAAGATTTTGACTAGGGGATGTATACCGGGTATAGTTGGCTGCGTTTGACATTTGATTCTTTCTTTTTCCTTATCTTTGGGGGCTGGGCTTGTAAAATGGTTGATTTACAGTTCCGAGCTTAGATTGTGTAGAAGAACCATCTGCTATGCAGTTCAGGTTGGTTTTATAGCATCTTTGTTGATTAATATAGTGTTGCTTCTATTTGTTTCCAAGAAGGCTTTTGCTGTTGCACTGGTTTTTGACAAAATCGTTTATGGGCTAATCATCTTCTCTGTATTTACCGACCGATATAATGAACTTCTGCTGGGTGGCAGTGTGACATCATTTTATGCTGTCAACTATGGCTCATTCTGAGTCCACACTCACCATGGGGGGTCTCGCAATTGTTTTTGACGGCGGGTTTCAGATAATTCATATGATTGGGTTCGACTCGCGACTCGGGTAATAATTTCTCATTTCCTAGGGTTTGCCTATAGATATTTAACACTACCTCAGCCTGTGGGAAGAATTTCATGCCTCTGTCAATAAAGCTGCACGATATCAGTTCATTTTAGGAGTTGAAACTTCAATGAGTGTGTTGCGATTGAATCGCCTGGTTTCTGCAACAGATGCAGAATAATGTGGCGCGCATAGCCTGGACAGATGAATCCTGCATCCAAACGATGCTTGCAGTTTGTTGACAGAATTTAATTATGGTGGAGTTCAGAATGGGAGGATATCTGTCGTTCGTTTATTGCCTTGGCAATTGCAGGGCGGGGTGTGCCCATATCTATTTTCTTTTTGAAATTCCTCAAAAAGTGATGGGATTCAATATGTTTGTTAATCTAGCCCTTCTTAGCCCAGTAATTAGCCTGTAGTGATGGTGCAGCTTCCAATTTCTTTGACCTTTATTCCTTTTGTTGGCTGCTTTTAAGTAAACATTTACGTGGGACTAGTTTCAAAGGGAAATAATTTGCCCAAATATTAAAATTAAATATTTAGTAATTTTGTGCCCAGGCAAAGGTGCGACTTGTTCGTTCTAAACTCGAGAGATAAAACATCTCTCTTGCCAGAAAATTGATTTCTTTTATTCCTCTAGATACTTAATTTGATATCATTCTTATTTTGTTTTAATCCTCTGCTTAAAATTTTCGAACAACAATGTGTATAGAATCTCAGTTAGGGACCCTTTTGACCCAAAAGGATGTTGAGGTGATTCATTCAAGAAATAGAAGGAACGTTTGACCTATCACTAGAATTTGAGCATTGTTAAAGGGGCTTAAAATTCATCGTGTACAGATTGAAGACAGACAGTCTATAGTTTTAAAAAATAGCCGTTGCATAACATAATGATCGGCAGTAGCCATTATCATTTTTGGCGTTATAACGAAATATTGTTATATCTGTTTTTCAGAAGAAAAATACGATGTCTTTCAATGATGTTCAGATTTGTGTTTCAATGTCTTATCAGATTTAATTGAAATATAAAGAAAAAAATTGGGAGGGAGAATCGGTTTTTGAGGAAGGAAGATAAAAGGATGTTGCTTCTAACATAGAAAGGCCAAAAAAAAAAAAAAAAAAAGAAGCTGGTGCTGCAGATATATAAGAGAAATTGGTACAGGGAAGGAGAGAGAGAGAGAGAGGCAGCAGAAACATATTTGAGGTTCAGATATGTTGGGTCTATTTTATGCATTTGAGTCTATATTTTTAAGTAGTCTTGTTGATATTAACGTTGAGCCTATTTTGTGTGTTTGGGTCTATATTTTTAAATGTTCCTTGTGATATAATTTTTATTGGACCTACTTTGCACTTGCCTTTTTAATATATTTTTAAGTGTTATCGAGTCTGGTTTTTGAATTTTTCTCTTTATTTACGTTGTATAATTTAAAAAATTAATAATATTTTTACTTTTTTTATTTAAAAAAAAAAACAATTTTTCTTTCACTCCAACAAGTAACTAAATTATAATTTTATTATAACATTTTATTAACAATAATTGAAACTTAGATTAAATTAAATTTTAATTTTTAATAGTGCAACTATTATTGAATTATAATGGTATATATATAACTGAAAAAATGTTATTATTATATTTATGTAAAAAAAAAACTATAAAACTTGATACAGATTGTTAAATAATTCACAACAATAGTTATGGTCTGTATATTTGAGCCGTTAAAAATTGCATCCGTTATCGCAATTCGTTAACATTATTGCAACCGTGGCCATTATTTAAAAGGTCATTATTTAAAACTATTCTCAGACTCATAGTAATGAGATGATAAGAGGAAAAGAAGGAAATGAAGTATTTTTCTATATTGGGAGTAAGAATACACACCAGGAAGCATTAATCTATTAAGCAGAAAATTTCACAAAAATTGAAGGCACAATTGGTCTAATCGTCTAAACCAGTTAGATGCAAAATGGATCATATCTCGTCTACAAAACTTCATAGGATATCAAACCATCGGTAGCCTCAATTGCCAACCGATTCATGCGTATGAGCAGCAGCAAATAAGTTCTTGCTTTAGGCCCTAAAAGACAACCAAATAGCAAAAAAACAAAACGTGAGTTGTTAATGTACTACAGCTAAAAACCATTCAAATGCTTAGCCACTAGATTTCTTAGGCTGAGATCTCAAGTTTGAGTCCCGCATTTGTAAATCCATCTCTAATGTCGAAAAGGATAAAGCTCGTAACAAACCTGAAATGCTTGGCCAGGGATCTAGTACAACTACCACAAGAAAACTTATATAACAGTGACAAGACAATACATACCTAAATCCATTGATTCGATTTCATCTTGGCGGAAATAGTTACTTCCCTCGGTCTTATCCTTGTTCTTCAGGCTAGAGTTAATTTTCTCAACAGCAATAAGCAGATCCTGCAAGTTCAAGGACAACAAAATATTAGAAAAACCCTATATTACCTAAGCTGGTTATTAATCCTGAGTATTTTTTAATTGTGCGAAATGCTGTCCTCAAACCAATACAACAAACCTCATTGCCGTCCAATTATACTTACGAGAAATTGTGTACATGCGCCAGCTTAGTAAAGACGGAAATGCAGAATCATTCAAAAAGCCTACTGATGTTATGATATCAAGTTTCAACTACACAGCCATTAGGCAAATTGTAAGCACTATATGGAAACTAGCTACTGAGCACTGGGTAAAATTATCATTAAGCAACTTTCGTAGTCAAGATATAAAGAAAGGCCATCTTGAATAATTCAATTAGCATGGAGAGGTCAAACAACATTAGCTAAATCATGACAGAAAGTAGCACTCCATACCTCCCATGATGTTAGACTTTTCACGTAGGAAGGCAGACTTTCATAATCATCTTTTGAAGCCTTCACGAAAGCTCTAAGTGCTTCGGCTGGTTTCAGTTCTCCTGGATTTTACAAAGGATAACCACGTACTCATTGGTGCTTGATATTGTTTGATTGGTAGCTTGAATGGAATGACATGAACAACCTTTAATAGCTAATCTCAATGCAGCTTTTTACCTTCAATTACCCCCATGTTTGCAGCATCTTGGTCTGGGCTCTTCATGTTGTGTAAATTGTCACCATAACACCTAAAACATGGAAAACTTAAGAATGTGCAAAGCATAGTTTTAAAAAAGGTTATCTAACAATAACAGAGCATCCCATTACCGTTATTCTATTTTACGGGTGCCCCGACACTGTTTCACATGGATAACAACAAATAACAATGTTACCGTTATGTAATGTCAATATTTGCCATTATATAACAGCATTACACAAATTATATTTAAAAAAAAAAAAAAAAAAAAACCATTTCAAGCCGAAATTCAGCCAGAGACCAGAGAGGCAGAGACCCTACTTGCAAGTTGCAACCCACATGATTAATTCAGAGAATAAGTATCGCATGCTATTTGCAGGCTTTGATTGAATAAATTAAAAGTTAGTCCTTCTATTTTTCTATTTGCAGGCTTTGATAGTTTGGTTGAATAAATTAGAAGTTAGTCCTTTTATTTTGAAAAAATATTTTAGTTATTAATTATTTGGAGATGAATATTTTGTAATGTATATATTGAAATTATAATGTATTTTATTATTTTTTATGTAATAATAATCTATAAGAAGTGTTATGAACTATTTTTTGTAATAAATTCAACTATTTTTATATAATATTAAACTATTAGAGATGTTATTACTTATTCATATGCTTAATTAATAAAATTATTAAAAATATATGAATTAAAATAAATTTATTAACATGGACTAATGTATTCACAACATCGGTTGCCACAATCATTATTTTACTACCATGATAAACCGCAATCTACAATCGCAATCATTTTTTCAAGTGCAACCGTTATTTAAAACTAAGGTGCAAAGGAGATTGAAATTTCCTAGCGCAACACAAAATACAAGTTCAACTACTTACTTGATTGTTTCTTTCATAGATATATCGGGATCATCCATCTTACTGTTAGCTGCAGAAAGATAAGAGGTGAAATTAGTCGAAAGCACAAATCGGTGATACAATAGGCAGATTTGTACATAGTACTTTTAAGTAATTACAGCAAGAAATCCATCTCGCCACCATAGTTAAAGTCAGTATGATTTTGCATTTCACTCAATCTGAAATTGTATTCTAAGAGTGCTAAAGCATCAAACCATGTCTATCAGGCAGTAGCAAGAGACTACCTTCAGATGCTAAAGTGGCAAGACAGACATCTGAAAGGCCAAGACTCTTTAAACTCAAGGACTCATCCATTCTAAAAAGAAAGATCAAGGCAAACAAAATTCGCATCCACTATAATGCACTAATAAAAATGACCCAGAATTTCTTCAATCAAATCCTAATGAACCCTTTTCAGCTCACTCTTCACTAGGAACACGGAAAAGAATGCAATAAGAAGTTCCAATCCATGATAAACAGACAAGAAAAAATAGTGAAACAATAGAAGTACAATTAAGGATACAAAGGATCCTCTTCCAAACTCTTCATAATTGAACTTGCCACAGAAACCGGTCCATTATAAGCTGAATAAGGATCCAATTCATCCTTCAAGTCGAAACCTTGCGCCATCGGTGTATTCAAATCAACCTCATCGATCTCAACTTCTAGTAGCAAAAACAATTATATAAAAAAAATAATAAAAAAAAAAAAAAAGGCAACCAACACAAGTCATAAATACGTGCATATTACTTGGAGAAAATTTATTTTGAGTCAATAATAAATAATCAAAAAAAATAAAAGCTTAATAATTAAAAAACAAAACAAAACAAAACAAAACAAAGATGCTGGGCTGGGGTGTGCACCAGTCTCTTTTGGATGGTTCTGGAGATAACCAGGCCTGCACTCCTGGACCGGAAGCACAGCTTAACCATTAAAAACCAAAGAAACCTTATTGCAACGCAAATGAAGTTTAGAGCTGTTTTGTACAACATTGAAACTCTAAGTACCAAAGTGTAAAAAGTCAAAAAAAAAAAAAATTTGTAAAACCACGTCATTTTAATATATTCACTGTAAAAGGAGTTCAGTTAATAAAACCATATTTTATTTTTGTGTGTGTGTATATATATATATAGCATACACAGTCACAAATGTGCAAATCTCAATTCCACTTGCGCAATTCTTTATTTGACCAAAAAGCCAAACAAAAATCAAGAAAATTTAAAACCCGATACTAATTTCTGCAATCCTTGATTTCTCTAGATATAGACTATTCAATTCGATTTTAGAAGTTTTAAAATTCCGATTATGTTCTTTAGCCAAAAAAAAAAAAAAAAAACCAAATAAGTGAAACTGAAAAGTCATTATTTCTAATTTTATAAAGATTCAAACAGAAAAAACAAGGTAAAGAATTAGTATACCAGGAACATAACCGAAGCTCCCCAGACGGTCTTGAATTTCAAGAATACGATTCTGATTGTTCTTATAAACTTCATTGCAATGACCTAATAATTCCTCAAAAGAAACGGTGCCAAACGACATCAATTCGAGTAAGTTCAGATCGCTGCTCGCGCTTGCTATCCGTCTGTTCAAGCATTGGATAAATGTAGATGATGCCGAATCTGCGGGAAAAAAAAAAAAAAAAAAAAGTAAGCAAGCTTTAGTGCTTGAATTTTGATTGTTTTAGCGCCGGGGAGGGGAGGGGGGGGGCGGCGGGGGTTACCGAGAGGGATGGGGCGGCGGTCGACGGATTGTTTGAGAGCGTCGCAGCTAGATTGGAGGTGGTTGCAGAAGGCGGCTGTGGTTTTGCTAAATTGAGATATTGTTTCTTCCATTTCTCAGTCTTCCTTTCCTTCTTTCTCTCTCTCTCTCTTTAACTGTCAGTACTCTTCTTTATTTACGATCTGCTTCCTTGGCCTTCCCGCTTTTGTTTCATTCAAAATTTGACCACATAAGCAGGGTTTGGGCTGAGTTTTTGCCGGGTTCGGATCACTATTTTTTTTTAAAAAAAAAGGAAATAGTTTTACACTGTTGGAATAAAACATGTCCTTTTTAGCATTTTATTTGAACTAATATATTACATTGTCATGTCGTATATAGAACTATAAGGAGTGAAATGACATTGCTGACACAGACAAATGAGGAAAATTAGGATTAAGCCAAGAAAAGATGACAATAATAACAATAATAATAAAGAGCAAAATTCTTCAATCATGTCTCGTTAATTTTGCCAAAAAAGTTTGATAATTGGGAAAGAGGAAATTTAAACTTGCCGTGCTTTTTATCATGCAACTTTTTGAGTTGATGCCTGTATCTCTACATCATCTTCAACATGTTCTGTTTCAAGAACACGCAAGGGTGTAACAATTTTCAGATGTCTGCACTTCAAGAGTGTAGCAAATCAATTATCACGTGAGGAAATGTTTTTGGCAATTGCTGCAGATGAGGCAAAATTTTAGAGCATCTCATGGACTTTTTAAATTCGCATTTACAAGAGCTAACCTTGTGTGTGCCTTTTAAGTTAAAATCTATGAAAAGTAGACCACTCATATATACAAGTTGACGCCCCATGTGGCTGCATGTTTTCCCCTAAATTTTCAGGTGAGATTCCCTTTAAGAGCAGTGGTAGCCCTTTGAATGGCTCTGGCAACTCTCCATATCTCATGCTGAAGTGCCGCTTGCCTATTTTGTTGGCTTTTGCTAGTTGATTGAGAGAGAGCATCTGCTATTCCAGGGAAGAAATCCAGTTTCTGTTCGTAGTCACTCGGAGGCCCATAAATCTACAAAGATGATCAGAGCGTAGGTTCTTCACAAAACTATTTATAATCCAAAGTCAAGAACATCTGTGTTCAAGTCTATGATCTCCATCTAAAGGCAAGGAGAAGAACACTTACAAGATGCTTAAACCATTGCCTTCCTTGAAGCCCTTCTACATCCAGGAAGCCTCTTTCAGCAAGCATCAGCCGATCATTCAATGCTCGCAACTTCAAATCTATAAAATTCCCCCTACTCTCTTGTTCTCTCAATTGCTGCATTCAAAAACAATAAACACCCCCTTATTACTGGAGAGAGCAGAATCACCATAAAATGTAGGTTTTCATTATCTCCACTTTGATACAGGAAGTCCAGTAATTACTTCACGAGCTCACCTTGATTTCAAACTCCACTTCCTTGGCAGCAGAGGCAAGTTCTTGAATTGAATTAATTAAAGGATGAAGAGATATGTCCTGGTCCAATAGGTTGCTCAAGACGCCTGTATGCCCCTGCCAAGGAAAGGAAAAATGTCACTGAGTCTGAAAATGATAAAATTCATTAAAAATTTAGAGAAAATGTACAAAAATTATTCAATATGATTACAGTAACCATCTTTCTTCAAAAAATGATCAGCGGATTTGCTTCTTTTTTTGAGAGAGTTGTGGGTTGGGGAGGTGGGTGGGTGAATCTTACAATTGCTTACTGTACAGCCATCATGTTTAAGTGGGACAGCTTCGCAGTCAAACATAACACATGATTTCCAACCATGCTGATTGTTAGAAAGATGCATCTTTCCAAGTTGTTATTTTCCTGTCTTTCCTCTTGTTAGATCCTATATTCTTAGGACTTAATTTATACTCATCATATGAAGAGTTGCACTATGAATCTGAAGGAAGCATTCCTATGTTTCCAATAGAAAAGCATTCATCTCTATTGGCAAGTTTCCATTCATCTTGGCCACTCGAATTTTTTTTCAAGTTTTCTATCGATAGTCCAATCTTACAACTCATGTCTATGATATCTAAATTAAAAACTCAACAGCCAGTTAAAACATCATTTATTTAGATGACAAATATATTTTGGAGAAATTTTGATCCCTCGTTACACATCCAAAATCAGATGCCCACCTGTAACTGCTCCACATAAGAGAGGTAATCAAATGGAAGAATAGACTCATCAGCCAGGTGAAGGGCTAGAAGTCCCCAAATTCCAGCAACTGAAACAATAAAAATAAGAGAAGCCATTTTATATTTAAAGTTGTTGTGAGTGGCCTTATAATTTATCCGACAGTATGCACTCAAATTGACAGAAAAAGACACTAACCAGCCACATGACGATGAAAGAGCGGGTCTGCATATTTTGTCATCCACTCATAGGAGTCAAAAGCGGTGTGATAGACAGGGAAATCTGAACGATTATAAAATTTGAGCTTTCAATGAGTATCATTAGCAAATAAATCTAGTGAGTCAGTTAAGCAATGAAAGCTAGGTGCTTCAAATCATTGTCTGCCATTATCTGTGCAATTGCACCTGTAATGCTTCTTTTGAATGGGTTCAACTTAGCTCAAGCGAGGTTTCTGCCAGTTTTTTCTTTGGCTTCAAACATGTCAAAAACCTCTCAATGTCTTGTACAATCACAGTCACATAATAAAATACTAAACACAACACAGACAGTAGCTGCTAACCTTAGAAGAACACCAACCAGCATTCCTAATCCTACCCAATCTCTCACTCCGGCAGGACCAGCACTCTGCGCTCCCTACTGTCCTAAGCATTGTGCTACCATGGCTTGACTTCCACCAGGGGCGGGCCCTTTTCTCTCTTTTTTTTTTTCGATCTTCTTTTCCTTTCTCCTTTCCAGTGTGTTTTCTTCAGATCTAGATGTTTTTTTCTAGACCTGTCTTGTTTACAATGGAAATAAATTCCTATCTACATCCGCATGATGCTAAATCTATCCATTTGTTGTCTGACCATAGTTACAGCCCATGGTGCCCATCTTCTGGGCTGTTTGTTCACTGTTTTGCCGTGATTGGGAAAGCTTTGTTCCTTGGTTTATGGTGTACCAAAGCTCTGCTCCATCCATCTAGGAAGTTCACAGGAGAACATTCCCAGTGTGATAGCTTTGCTACCACAGTCAAAGCTGGTCAAGGAGATGAAAGTCCAGTGATTTGTGTCATTATCTGTCCCTTAGTTTTGATTTATTTCTATCTAGGGAGTTTCCTAGGTACTTCTCTTTCTTATGGCTTTGTACACATGATTCAAGTGAATGATAATTCCGGGTGCTCCTCACAAAATAAATAAAATCCATCAAATTACAAAACTGTTTCTGGCATTGAAAATTCATTTAACTAAAATTACCAACAAGGTTTAGATTATTGAAAAAACACCTTAGACAATAGTTCCCCATGACAACAAGAAAATAAAAATAATCTCTTACTGTCATACTACAATCATGTTTCAAAATCCAGGGAAAGTTTATCATTCCAATTTGGTTCCTCTCAAACTTCAAGAACAGAGACACCACTGTGTGTCATAATGCCAAAACAAAGACAGAGACACGACCCAAAAGTTGGGAAGATGAAAACAACAGTGGTGCTACTCCTATGATACCATGGCCAACAACAAAAATACTGATTTCTGATTCTTTAGCTGCAATAAAATTTGCAAGGCCGAGGGACAAAAAACAGAACTAAAGCTATTAAAATTCCTGAAATGATTCCATTTGAGCACCTGGTAAATAAATACCTTCATACTCTTACATATGCATGATCATAAACCTAAACATGTGGCCACCAATAAGTAATTACTGCAAAGGTAGGAGAAATGTACCTCTTCCATAATAGATATCAATAGAAGGAATTCCTGCATGTTGCAGAAATGGAGCAAAATCAGAATCCACTCCACTGAGTCTTTGGATCTGCAATCCAACCATGACAGTCCCCAATTAAGCACCTGATGAAAGTTTTATCTCCAGGAAAGCCAAAACATATAATCCATTGAAGTATGACTAAATGAGCACCAACTAGGTGGTTATAAGTTTTAAACATGGAAAAGAACAGCAGTATTTTCATTTGTAGCTTCAAAACAAGACAGGTATTTGAGATGCTCATTTGGTGCATTGCACCTTGGACCTATTCTTTTTCTATACCAGAGACATATACTGCTACACAATAGTCTAAGTGAAGAGTGTGTGTGTGTGCACCAGCACGCACGTAGGCATAAACATGTGTGTATATATTATGCATCTTTAAGCATTTCAAATATTAGCATTTAATAATTGAAGAAGCAGCGTCTTCGAGCATTTCAGATACTAGCATTTGATAAAAGATACTGTCAATCTTACTGTGTTGACTTGGTTTTTGGCTGCCCATTTTTCATATACAGTTCCACCCTCTGTGTCAGGATCCTTGACCTGAAATCACTTTTAGCATTAGTTGAAACAACTGAACAGAGTGTCACGTTTTGAAACCAGGCGACATCAACAGAGACTAATCAAAGGCCTTGAAAGCAACAATATACTGTTCCTTTAATTTACCTTTTTTGTAACCTCAATAAGAAGATTATCTAGCTGAGGAGTTGCACCAGCAAAGAATCCTGGCCCTTGAACTGCACAATCTACATTAAGATATGCCACTGCTTTGGCACCCAAATTGACAAGGTTTTGCTCAACCCATTCGGTAGACCCTATGATATCATAGTAACACATTAGTTTGGAGAGGTGTAGTACATAAAAGCACTCCAACATACAAGCTCGTTAGGTTCGGCAATCCAAAGATCATCATAAATACATGCTCAGATATAACTGTTAAAAGAAAATCTACGAGGCTCAACAACAACATTTAGAGCACAAGGAAAGATTTTTATTCCTCAATGAACCTAGCAAGTTACTGCATCCATGTTTAGATAACGTAATAAATAGCAGTCCTGAAATCCCCCACCCCACCCCTCTCTGAGGAAATATAGTATCCTGTTTATATATAACTGCCAGACTTTGGGAACTTGGAACAGAGATCCACATACAGACTTGGATAGGAGCATCAGCAATCGACCACAAAGTTAAACATGTGAAATTGCTGAAAGGT